CTACCTATGTTGTATTATTTGAAGTGAGTTTTTTATAGATACCCTGTAGGTAGGTCATATTTTAAAATCCATTCTGCCAATCTCTTATATTTATTGGTATATGTAAGCCATTTATATTTAATGTTGTTATTGTTCCGCAAGAGTTTAAATCTACCATTTTATTTTTTGTTCTGTTTTTCACATCTCTGTTTTGTTTTTTCTGTCTCTCTGGGGATTACCTAAACATTTTTTAGAATTCCATTTTGATTTATAGTGTTGGTGAGAGTATCTCTTTGTATAGCTTTTTTTAGTGGCTGCTCAAGGTACTATATATACATTAACTTATCACACTATGTTGCTGTTTTACCAGTTTGAGTGAAGTATAGAAACTTTACCTACCTTTACCTCCCTTTACTCTCCCCTGTATATTAATATAATCATCTGAAACATTTTCTTTACATATGTTTAGAATCACATTGGAGAAGAAGGAAAGTATATTGCATTTACCTATATTTTCCCCTATACTGTATTAGTTTTTCCTTCCTGATGTTCCCAGATGCCTTTTATTGTTTCCTTTATGTTTAGGGAATTTCTTTTAGCCATTGTTTTAGGGTAGGTCTGCTGGTGACAAAGTCTCTTAGTTTTTCTTTATCAGCATATGTCATGATTTCCCCTTTGTTCTTGAAGCTAATTTTGCTGTATCTAGAATTCTGGGTCAACAGTTCTTTTATCAATTGATTGATTGATTGATTGAGATGGAGTCTCACTCCATTGCCCCAGCTAGAGTACAGTGATGTTATCATAGCTCACTGCAACCTCAGACTCCCCCACTCAAGTGATCCTTCTGCCTCAGCCTCCCACATAGCTGGAACTACAGGTATGCGCCACCAAACCTGGCTAATTTTTAAATTATTTTTAGAGATGGGGGTCTCGCTCCTTCTCAGGCTGGTCTTGAACTCCTGACCACAAGCGATCCTCCTGCCTCTGGCTTTCAGAGTGCTAGGATTACAGGCGTGAGTGGCCTCTTTAAGTACTTGAAAAATGTCATGTCGCTTTCTTCTGGCCACCATGATTTTTGATGAGAAATCTGTAATTTGAATTTTTTTTCCCTCTAGAAGTAAGGTGTTATTTTCCCCTCACTGCTTTCAAGATTTTATCTTTAGTTTTCAGAAATTTGACTAATGTGTCTTGGCATATATTTCTTTGGGTTTACCCTATTTAAGATTTGCTTAGCTTCTTGAGTCTATAGGCTTACATCTTTTTGTAAAATTTAGAAGTTTGAACCATTATTTCTTTAGATATTTTTCTGCCTGTGCTCTTTTTCTTCACTTTCCAGGATTCTGGTGACATGAATCTCATATATTTTCTTGTAATCCCTGAAGTTCTGTTTTTGGTTTTATTTTGTTTTGGTTTGTTTTTTATTCTATTTTCTCTCTGCTGTTCAGACTGGGTAATTTCTATTTTTCTTTCTTCAAGCTAACTGATTCTTACCTCCTTTGTCCCCTCTATTCTACTATTGTTCTCACCTGTTGTATTTTTTATTTTGGTTATTGTATTTTTCAGTTCTAAAATTTCCATTTAGTCCTTCTTTATATCTTCTGGTTTTTTTTGCTGAGATTTTGTTTCTTTATAGAGAGTTTCTGTTTTTTCATTTGTTTTAAAAGTGTTTGCAATTGCTGTTGAAGCACTTTTATGATGTTTGTTTTAAAATCTTTGTCACATAATGCTGAGATCTCTTATTTTGGTATTGACATCTATAGATTATCTTTTTTCATTTGAACTGAGATTTTCCTGGGTCTTAGTGCGATGAGAGATTTTTGATTGTAACTTGGACATTTTAGGTCTCATGTTGTAAATCTCTAGATCTTATTTAAACATGTTTTAGCTGGCTTCCTCTGACATTGCTCTAGTTGTAGATGGGTGGGTATTACCTTGTTGTGGACAGATGGGGTAGAAGTCCAGGTTTCCCACTCATCCTACTGATACACAAGGAGGAGAAGGGCTCCTTGTGACTGTTGGGCAGGAGTGGGAGTTCCCACTTCTGCTAGATCAGTGCTCACACCACTTGGCTGGGAAGGGCAGTAGCGCCTCATTACTGTTCCTCACATGACCTCCACTGACATCCAGGAGTGTGTGGCCTTTACACTGGGCACTGATGGAAGTACTGACTCTCCACTAGGCCTTTCTGACACATCCTCAGGGATAAAGGAAAGAGGAGCCTTGTTGTCACTTAGTGAGAGTGGATGTCCACTTTCCCTAAGTGGCCTCTATTGACACTGTGGGGTTGAGGGACTCATTACTGTTCAGTAGGTATGAAAATCCCAATTTCCTACTTGGACTTCTTTTCTATTACTCTGGTAAAAAGAGTTGGGGTGCCTTGTTACAGCTTGGTGAGAGTAGAAGCCCAGCTCCCCACTTGGTCTTTGCTATTGTGGGTTATGGATGGGGCCACAGTTTTCATGCAATATTTGGCTAGAGTAGAGCAATTATTATCTAAATGTTTTTTTGTTTTGTTAGGCTGCCTCTTTCTTGATCATTTGGCTGGGGAGAACAGGTTTTTTGTTGGGGCTTTTTTTTTCTTCTGTGTTCATTGGTGTTTCTGGGTTAAGGGCTTCTCTAGCTCCAGATCTCCCTGCTGGTCTGCCTTTTTCTCTCTACCTTTCAGAATCTTCTTACGTTTGTTTTATACGTAATGTCCAGGGTTTATAGTTTTCCTTAGTAGAAAGAAGAAGGAAAAGTTCGTCTATTCCATCTTCCTAGAAGGGGAAGTATCCCTAGTAATTTTTGATGTTGAGCACATTTTCATATGTTTATTGACCATTCTTATATTTTCTTTTGTGAAATATCAACTTTTTTCCCATTTATTTATATTGATATATAGGACTTTTTTTTTTTTTTTTTTAAGACAGCGTCTCACTCTGTTGCCCAGGCTTGAGTACAGTGGTATCATCATATCTCACTGCAACCACGAACTCCTAGGCTCATGCGATCTCCTGCCTCTGCCTCCCAAGTAGCTGGGACTATAGGTGCATGCCACCAGGCCTGGCTAATTTTTTGTAGAGACGGGGTCTCATTGTTGCCCAGGCTAGGACTTCTTTATATATTCCAGATACTAGTCTTTTATAAAATATGTTTTGTAAATATTTTCTCTTAGTATGGCTTGCCTAATCATTTTCTTAATAGTCTCTTTTGATACATCAAAATTTTCTATAATTGTTCCTTCTTGTATCATATCTAAGAAAACTTTTCCTACTCCCAAATCATAAAGACATTCTGGCGTGTTTTCTTCTGGCAGATTTATAGTTTTAGCATTTGTATTTATGTCTGTGATCCATCTTAATTTCATTTTTGTGTATGTTGTGATGTAAAGACTAAGGTTCATTTTTTTTTTTTTCATATGGACATTCAGTTGTTCCAGCAACAAAGGTTGAAGAAAGATTTCTCTTCCTGTTGGATTGCTTTCTCTCCCTTTGTTAGGAACATCATAGTAAACTTTGTACTTCATAGGATAAGTAAGATAGAATGCTTATGAGAGAAAAACCCACAAGTTTTAGAGCTCAGAGACTCAATTTCAAATTTCTGTTCTACCATTTTGTGGCTTTATTTTCAGATTTTGGTCAACCTCTTTGAGCACAAGGATCCCTTTATCTGTAGAATTGAAATAGTAATTATCTCTAATTTACAGGGGTTGGGAGAGGTTTAAATGAGATAACATTCATGATAATAATAACTACTGTCTTTTGACTATTTAAGATGTATTAGTCATTTATTATTTTACTTAATATCTTTAAAATGTTGCTAGTTGTTCAATCCAAAACAGCATTGATTAGAGCACTTCCACTTAATGACATATACCTACACAGAGGCAAGTTTCAGTGTTTTTATTACAGATGAACATCCTGAGAAATAACATGGTCTTATTTTCATTGGTCTACAACTGCACATTTGTTATATATCCTTTGTAGTTTTGTCTTTCTTGAACTAGATAAGAAGTATGTTATTAAAAAGTATATTTTCAGCCTGGCTAAAGATTACCGTGAATCTTTTATTGTTGCTAGTAGATACTTTTAATGGGATCTGTGTATTAGTTTCCTGTGGCTACTGTAGCAAATTACCACAAACTTGGTGGCTTAGAACAAAAGAACTTTATTCTCCAGAGTGCTAGAGGCCAGAAGTCTTAAATCAGTATCACTGGAGTGAAATCAAGGCTTTGGCAGGGCTGTGCTCCCTTCAGAGGCTTTAGGGGAGCATCACTTCCTTGCCTTTTCCAGATTCTGGTGGCTTTTGGCATTCCTTGACTTATGGCTACATCACTTATATCTTTAAGGCCAGAATCTTCAAATCTCTTTCAGTTCCATCTTCATTATGGCTTTCTTCTCTGTGTATGGCCCAAATCTCCCTCTGTTTCCTTATAAGATATATGTGATTGCATTTAGGACCTGCCTAGATAATCAAGGATAATGTCCCCATTTTAAGGTCCTTAATCACATCTGCAAAGACACTTTTATTTTTTTCCATGTAAGTTAACATGCACAAGGGCTATGGATTAGGATGGGGAGAATTTTGGAAGGGCCATTTTTCAGCCCACCACAGTCTGGTTATATGTTTTTACTAGGAAAATCAACAGTAACAAATAAAGTAAAAGCACTATTTTAGAAACTTAACAATGAAAATTCCAAAGATATAAAAAAGAAAAAAGAATTCTTTCAATGAGTATTTTGTAAACTGTAAAGTATAATAAAACTTTAATTATTATTATTATTCTTACTATTTTTATGTGAGATTTATAGGCAAAGTCTAATCAAGAAGGTTAAAGAGAGTATGACCAAAAGCATAAAGGAGTCTAAGAAGGCCAACACTTTTTGTTTTCTTCAGCGCTTCTGGCTGAACATGTTAAATTTTAGAAAAAACTAGGTTAAAAGCATATTATGTTTTTAAAAAAATAAATTTTCTTTAAAGTTTTAAAATTCTTACATTCGTCTCTTTCTGTCTACCTCTTACTCCCACCTCTTTTTATAAAGGTGCCCCTTACTGAAGCAGTAGATCCAGTAGATTTTGAAGATTACCTCATTACTCATCCTTTAGCTGTGGATTCTGGGCCTTTAAGGGAATTAATTGAATTTCCTCCAGATGATATTGAAGTTGTTTATAGTCCTCGGGACTGCAGAACACTTGTTTCAGCTGTACCTGAAGAAAGGTAAGGAGACATTTACCTACTTTTGGTTTTAGTGTAACTATAGAAAGGCTGCCTTCCATTATATTATTTAGAGCCTATTTCTTGTGGTGATGTTGTTTCTTGTTATAAGAACATGAACTGCAGCAACCAAATTCACAAACATCAGTGCTTTCCTTTCTAAATTACAAATATATTTTCTTTTTAAAAATAGTGAAATGGATCCACATGTTAGAGATTGTATAAGAAGTTATACAGAAGACTGGGCAATTGTGATCAGAAAGTAAGTTATATGTTTATTATAACATTTAAAAATACTGAGTAGGATTTGTAAATGGATTAAGATAGGTGAGTAATAATTGTGACATAAGAAAATTTATTTAAACAAAATAGTTGAAAAAACAAAGAAGAACCTTATGTATGAAATGTCCAATTTCGAGTCAAAAGTGTAGTTTATTATATCTCAAACAAGAAGCAGTACAATTAATCAAAGTATGCACCTAAACTGTCAACACAATTTTGCCATCTTAACAGTAGCTTGTTTATGCCAGCAGTGAAGAAGCCTGCAGAGCGAGTGGTAATGAAATCGTGAAAGTTGTTTTCCACAGCTTGTTAAGAATTCAATATTTTTCCTTGCAAGAAGTGGTCCAAAGCCTGGAAGAAGTGGTAGTTAGTTGGTGCAAGGTCTCGTGAATACAGTGAATGACAAGAGTTTCCAAGTCCAGCTTCTGTAGTTTGAGTAGCATTGTTTGTGAGACAAAGCGTTGTCTGGCCAGAGGACTGGCCTGTCTCTCTTGACTCTTAATGACCAGCATCCTCATCCAGCTGGTTGCAGTAGACATCTCCTGTAATCAGTTGACCAGGTTTCATGCAGCTATAGTGGATAATACCAGGGCTGGACCACCAAACAGGCACCATTAGCTTTTTCTGATGAGTATTTGGTTTTGAACTGTTTCTGCACTTAATTTGTATCCAGCTATTGTGCCTAATGCTTGCGATTGTCAAAAAGAATCCATTTTTCATCACATATAACAATACGGTGTAGAAATGGTTCACCTTTATATCATGACAGCAATGAAAGGCAAGCTTTGAGATGACTTCTCTTCTGACTCTTGTTTAATTCACGTGGAACTCATCTATCCAGCTTCTTTACCTTGCCGATTTGTTTCAAATGGTCCAATATTGTTGGAATAATAATGTCGAACCTTGCTGCTTTTCATGTGTAGGTTGAGATGGATTCGCTTCCACTACAGCTTTCAGCTCATCATTATCCACCTTGGTCTCAGGTTGCCCACGTGACTCATATTCAAGATTGATATCAGCAGAACGGAACTTTTCAAACCATTGATATACTGTGTGTTCATTAGCCACATCCTTCCCAAACATTTCGTTGATATTTTGAGCTGTCTGTACTGCATTGGTTCCACAATGCAACTGATGTTCATAAATAACATGAATTTTTGACTTATCCATGGTTTCACAAAAATTGCTTTAAAAAAAATATGAAAGATTATTCACAAGCCAAAATGTGCTTTTGAAAGACTGAGCATGTACCCTCAAAATAAAAATAAAACAAGAAGTGTTAAAGTGAAATGTCAGAGATATCAACTGTCAAACTTAGTACTTAAGGAAATTGGACATTTCATACTCAATAACCCAATATAACTTAATAAGCCCCCACAGTTACTTTTACTTATTTTCCTTATAAAGTAATAGGTTTGTAGGAATAGTATTTCTATACTATTATAAATCATTAAGAACTAATAATATATGATGATAATGATTTTGAAGTCTAATTCTTTTGTGAAATCATGGCAAGATATCGATGAATAATTTGTATTTCTCAAAAAAAAATCCAATTTAATGAAACTTAAGTAGCTAAGTTAAATTTAATAGCCAGTTTTCTAGATCAAGCTATTTGAAAGGTCTCTGCCCTTTCTAACTAATGGTTTTAGGTCCTTGACCTGTATATCTAATCAGGTAAATATTTGTTAAAAATAATGTTTTATTCTACCCAAGATTTATTTTTCTAATGGACTGTGTTTGAAATATCAACTCAGATTAAGAAACAAAATAAAACTACTTTTCTTTTGCTAATTTGCATAACAAAAAGCATTTTCATACTGAAACTTCTTAGCCTTATTTTACTAAGGGAGATATAATGACTGAAGTAGTGGAGAATTCTGATATAACATTATAGTTTTCACAAATGAAGTAATCTATGCTAAATAGCACTAGCAAAAGCATTGCTTATTGTTTTGCCCTCATGGCTGCTGTCTTATTTCACTGGGCTTAATACTATGCTAAATATCACTCTGGGGGATAATGTTGACGTGGTTTTTAGTTTTAGTGTGACCTAATAAAAGCACAGTCTTCTGCCCTTTATATAAAAGAGCTGTTTTTATGAACTTAACAATTTTGGTAAGTATTCTAGTAGCCAGATTTTAGACATTACTGAAAGAAACTGTTCTTCTGTCAGATAATTCAAAAGGCTTTACCTCTATGCATATATGTTGGAAACCTGTTATTAGAAATCTTAATAAGAAGAGGTTAGCTGTAAAATATATTGACATCAGAATCATGGAATCTGTTACTTAATTCTAATCAAGGGGTTGCTAACCTTGGTTTAGGCAAGAGGAAAAGGGTATTAAATATGGGAACTTACTATGTGCTAGGCATTTCATTGAGCACTTTATACTCACCTAATTTAAGGTTCTAATAGATAAGATAACTCAAGCTCAGAGTAGTTAAATAATTTCTCTATGATCCCACAAGCCAAAAGATGAGGTAACCAGAATTAGAACATAGGGCTATCAGATTCTAAAGCTTATATATTTTTTTATGTTATGCTAGTTATTATATGTTATCTGCTCTGGTAATTGGAAGACAAAAGGGGTACTTTTGGTGAACTAGAAGCTATGAGGTATTTCTCAACAACAGAAGATAGGTGTGATTGGAATATAAGAGAAAACCACAGGAAAGAATAATCTAAGGAGAAAATATATGCAAAAGCTTCAGTAGTGCTTTAAGCTCAGAAGCAGTAAATACAGGCAATGGTGGGGGACCTGGAGCAAATGTTGGAGACTTGGTTACTTTGAAACCCCCTATACCATGTGTGCACAGCAGTGGCAGCAGAGACAACTACCTGTTTTTTAGGAGCTGTACTTGAGCAGATAAGATAGTGCCCAGGGTGAGCTTACCTTGAAGAAAGAAGGAGCCCTCATACTTAGACGACTAGGTACTGGCAGACTTTGCCTGCCAGCATGATCTCTACCTTCCCTACAGCTACTGGATATGGTCTGGGGTAAGCAGATACCCCAGATTAGTTCAAGACAAATGTGGGGGATGCAAATTCAAAACTGAACATATACCCCAGAATTGGCAAGTATTTGATGAAAGCCAATACATTTGAAAGAGAATTATCAGAAACTACAAATAAAAGAACTAATAATTTAGGAAACAGTCAATAGAACACAGATTAATACCCATTAGTATAATGAATATACTTATGTATCAATGTATATAAAATATGTGACAGGATATGTTAACCATATAAAAATCAATTCATTATCTTTGAAAATTAAACTTTTAATCAGTGAAAAATATTAAAAACTCAGCAGATGGGCTTAATGGTAGAGTGGATATGGCTAAAGAGTGAAATAGTGAATGATAAGGTGAAACCACAAAATTCTTCCATAATTTAGCAGAGTGATAAAGGGACAGAAAATACTTTATTTATTCATTCAACAAATGTTTATTGAGAGTATTCTATGTACCAGGCACTACACTAAACACTGATGATACAACAGTGAACAAAACCAACTCCTTACCCTCATGAAGCTTATGTTCTAGTGGGGCAAGAGGTCAATAGACAATAAACAAACACAAATAAATATATAATAAATATGATAGAGATAAGTCTTGTGGAGAAAAAAGTAGGGTGAAAGGGATAGAGAAGGCCAAGAAGAGGGATAACATTTTCTATTTATGTAAGTAAAATAAGGAAGGCTTAATGATAAGGTGATTTTGAGCAGACCTGAAGGAAGTGAGCCCTGTGGATATCTGGGGGAAGAGTGTTACTAGGAAGAGCAATACAATGTGAAGGCCCCATATTCAAAGCATGCTGGAAACGTTGAAGGAATAGTAGAGAGGACAGTGTGGCTGAAATAGAATAAATGAGGGTGAGAATGCCAAGAGACGAGTCAGAAAAATGGTCATGGTGTGGAGTTAGACAGGTAGTCATGTAGAGCCTTCACTATTTCATTAATTGGCTGATAGCAAGAACCACATCATCTTCTGGTAATCATTATTGTTTTGCTCCAATTAAAATATTCCCACAGTTTACTCTACAAATTGTTAAATCATGGACAATAATTGCTCTTTGATCAACTCTTATTTGATATTGTTGGATATTGGGTTGTTTGGAAAGAAGGGTACATTGATTTGAGTTGTTCTTAGCAATATATATATAAAAAGTGTTAATTAAACCATATATGTATACAATGGTGTTGTAGATTTTGCTGTTTTTCATTTTACATGTCTGCAGCTTTAGATTAAGATCTTTTATAAATAATGAGATATAGCAAAAATTTCTTGGCTATTTGAAATTTTAAGATTCAGTGCTTCATACATGTATCTAACCTTTTAGAAATTTGTATTACTATTAATGTAATATTATTTTCTATTATTAATGTAATATTATTTTCATTTTATTCTTCAACCTGGCTTCCCAAGTTTTCTTTTTACTGACCAGTTCTCTGAATTGAAAGTACAGGCTTAAATTATATTACACATGGTTGGCATGGAAAGAAGGAAAATATGGTTTGCTTTTGGGAACTCATAATCTGCTCTTTAGTTGGGTGAAAGGAACTTTGAATGGAAATTTTCTTAAACCTCTGGTTAATTATTTAACATACTCAAAACTACTACGGGAGATCCTTATTATGTAAAGAAATAATGCAAATGACACTTGGCTTATTACATAATAATGCTGAAAAAGGGAAAAATTTTTAAAAATTGATATTTATTTAACTATTTTGTTTTTAATAGATATCATAAACTGGGAACAGGATTTAATCCCAATACATTAGATAAACAGAAAGAAAGGCAAAAAGGTTTGCCAAAACAGGTCTTTGAATCTGATGAAGCTCCAGATGGCAACAACTACCAGGATGATCAAGTAATATTTTTATTCTTAAATGACTATAAAATTTACTTTAAAATAGTTTATTTTTTATTTATTAATATCTTCATATTTAATGTTTTGCATGACAGGATGATCTTAAGAGACGTTCAATGTCAATAGATGATACTCCAAGGGGTAGCTGGGCCTGTAGTATCTTTGACTTAAAAAATTCACTTCCTGATGCTTTGCTTCCCAATTTACTTGATCGAACTCCGAATGAAGAAATAGACCGTCAGAATGATGACCAAAGGAAATCAAACCGTTACAAGGAACTCTTTGCTTTGCATCCATCACCAGATGAGGTATAGATGTTTACATATAAAGAAGCAACTGAGTATCAAAATAGATATTTGGAGAGTATGATTTATATATTATGAAATACTATTTATATTAATATTATAATAGTATTATAATAATGTAGGGAATAAAATTTAACTGAAACATAGCTATAATTTTATAAATGAATACTTCTTATACTAGTGAATTTATTCATAATGAGTAATTTCTGTGAATTGAACATATGATTTAATGACTTTGTGGATAAATAGGTCATTCTTTGTTCAATTGTGAAGACTAAGAAGATTAGTAAAATAGATTCTTATAAAAATATAAATTGTACAGAATTGAAATATAATGAGGATATTCCTTTTGTGTTGCTTGTCAATTTGTAGGAAGAATCAATAGAAAGGCTTAGTGTTCCCGATGTACCCAGAGAACATTTTGGTCAAAGACTTCTTGTAAAATGTTTATCACTCAAGTGAGTATTTCTTCTATTGTATAACTTTTATTTTCCAGGGTAATATTTTGAGTACTAGTATAACAAAATCTTAGTTAGTAGATTTTATACTTGTATTTGTGACCTTTTGAGAAGTATTGTTCTGTACATAATTTTAAATGCTATCCAGCATTCGAACTTATGTGTGAAGCTAAGCTTTAGAGCATTTTTGGTTCACAGGCAAAGATAACTCTTTGCCACAGCTATACAGTTAGTCTCAAAACTTGAGAAAATATTCACCGACGTTTATTACTAGACACCGTTCTTGATTGGGGAATATAAAGAAAAAGTATCTTTTTCCTTAAAGAGCTGATTTTACATTTGTTACATGGTAGGCCTTGTTTTTTGAAGTACATATTTTTTTCCCTTAAAAAAGTTAGATGACTTCTACTGACATCATTGAGGTGATGTTTCTTACATTTATAATCTGCTTTACAAAGTTCTTTCTCTTATTTTATTTCATGCTGTCTTCATAGTAATTCTATAAGGTAGATACTATTTTCTTCATTTTACAAATGAGGAAACCAGGATTCAAAAGGATTAGCAGAAGTTAATTGGCATGCTCATTATTATGCTATCAGTAACTGAAAAATAAACTTCATGCTCTTTTCATTATATCATGTTAGCAGTATAGGTTAATTGTTAGTTCTGATTTAAGAAAAAAGAAGTTTCAATTTATAGAGCTTTCTTTTTTTTTTTTTGAGACAAAGTCTCACTCTACTGCCCCGAGTAGAGTGCTGCGGCGTCAGCCTAGCTCACAGCAACCTCAAACTCCTGGGGATCAAGCAATCCTTCTGCCTCAGCCTCCCAAGTAGCTGGGATTACAGGCCTGCGCCACCATGCCCGGCTAATATTTTCTATATATTTTTAGTTGTCCAGCTAATTTCTTTCTATTTTTAGTAGAGGCGGGGTCTCACTCTTGCTCAGGCTGGTCTCGAACTGCTGAACTCAAACGATCCACCCGTCTTGGCTTCCCAGAGTGCTAGGATTACTGGCGTGAGCCACCGCGCCTGGCCCATAGAGCTTTCTAAAAGAAGCAACTCATAGTTATAGACCACTTTTTATATAATTCTGGCAGTTTTCTTTTCTTGAAAGCTAAAGCTTTATATATTTAGTTAGATTTATCCAGAAACCTGTTTGATAGATTAACTGCATTGAGTCTTTTGAATATCTGGACACTTAACATCAGTTCTTACTTATAATCTTCTTACTTTGTTTTTTAATAGCTTTATTGTAATATAATTTACATATCATAAAATTCACCCTTTTAAAGTATACAAGTCAATGTTATGTATTCATAGAGTTGTGCAACTATCACTAAAATATTTATCACAGCAGAAACAAACTTCATACCTGTGTTAGTCTATTCAGGCTGCCATAACAGAATACCATAGACAGGGTGACTTAACCAACAGAAATTTATTTCTCATAGTTCTGGAGGCTAAAAGTCAACGGTCAAGGTGCTGGCAGTTGGTTTCTGGTGAGGCCTTTCTTCCTGGCTTGCAGATGGCTGCCTTTTTGTTGTGTCCTTACAGAACCTTTCCTCTGTGTGTGCATGGGAAGAGAGACATCTTTGGTTTCTTAGTCTTCTTATAAGGACACCACTTCCATGGGATTAGTACTGCACCCTTAGGACCTCGTTTAACCTTAATTACCTCCTTAAAGGCCCTATCTCCAAATACAGTCACCTTGGGGTTAGGATTTTAACATAAGAATTTTGGGGACATACAATTTAGTCCATAGCAATACCTATTAGCAGTCACTCTCTGTTCTTCTTTCCCCTCAGGCCCTGGCAGCCACTAATTTGTTTTCTGTCTCTACGAATTTACCTATTCTGAATATGGTATATAAATGGAATTATATAATATGTGGCCATTTGTGTCTGGCTTCTTCATATAGGATAAGTTTTCAAGGTTCATCTATGTTATAGCATATATGAGTAGTTCATTCCTTCCTTTATTTATTTATTTTACTTACTTACTTATTTTTGTGACAGGGTCTCACTCTGTTGCCCAGGCTCGAGTGCAGTGGCGTGATCACAGCTCACTGCAATTTCCATCTCCCGGGCTCAAGCAATCCTCCTGTCTTGGCCTTCCAAAGGGATTTTAGGTGTGAGCCATTGCACCCAGCCATTCATTCCTTTATATGGCTGACCAATATTCTACTGTGTGGATACACCACATTTTGTTTATCCAGTCATCATTTGACAAACACTTGGGTTGTTTCTGCTTTAAAAAAACTAATAGCTTTACTGAGATATAATTCACATATTATGCATTTCACTCAAGTGTATCCAGTGTACAGTTCATCAGTGAATTCAGTCAGTTTGCCAGTGTACAATTCAATGGGTTTTAATACATTTCAGATCTTGCAACTATCATCACATAAATTTTAGGGTACTTTCATCACCCCAAAAAGAAATCCTCTGCCTGTTAGCAGTCACTCCCTGTTTTGCCTAACTCCTCCAGCCCTAGGCAACCACCAGTCTACTTTCTGTTTCTATGGATTTTCTTGCTCTGAATATTTCCTATAAATGGAATCATACAATATGTGGTTTTTTGTGTTTGGCCTCTTTTACTTAGTTTTCCTAATGTTTTCAAGTTTTATCTATGTTGTAGCATGTGTCAGTACTGCTATTTCTTTTTATTGCTGAGTGATGTTCCGTTGGATAGATATATCACATTTGTTTATCCGTTTATCAGTTAATGAACATTTGAATTGTTTCCACTTTTTGGCTATTATTAATTACATTCATAATTTGTGTACAAGTTTTTGTGGTATATATGTTTTCATTTTTCTTGGGTATGTACCTAAGAGTGGAATTATGGTTGGTATGGTAACCCCATGTTTAGCTTTTGGAGGAATTATCCAGACCGTTTTTCCAAAGCAGCTGCACCATTTTTATTCCCACCAGCAAGTTATGAGGATTCTAATTTTTCCACATTTTCACCAACACTTGTTATTGTCTGGTTTTTTGATCATAACCATCCTAGTAGGTGTGAAGTGGTGTCTCATTATAGTTTTATTTATGATCTTCTTGACTAGTAAAAGTTACAAGTTACTTTTCCCTTAGAGAAAAGATAGAATGATTTTTCACATAATTCTATTTTCCTTAGCTTTCATTTGATCAGCTCTTGTTAAAAACTCTGAACTAAGAATTATATACCTCTGATATATCTATGATAAGAAAAATTCAGGTTTAAGGTAGAGAAGAACTTGAGGTCACTTTATAAGTTCAGAAAGGGTTAGAAATGATAGCTTTATTTTAGTTAATTATAGAAACTGATAAATTCTTGAAAATAATTTCTTTTACATTTTATTCTCCAAGAATAGCCTTCCTTTAATCCTGCATGAGAAAATTGTTTGTAATAGTTAAGAAGACTGTTAGTCAGTGTTATAGTGGTCTAGACATTCAGGGAAGTAACTTCCCAGGGATGGTCAAACTGATAGGAATTTCTTAGAAGCCTAGAAATGCTAAGAAATCATAATTTCACAGAGGTAAGCATTCTCTAGCTTAGTTTTACATTAGGACTACTGCCTATCCTGGTTTTAATGGGCTACCCAAGGGAAAGGGCTTGACATTCAAGCAGGGTAGAAACAGACTTCTGCATAAATGGCTAACACCAAATGTCATAGGAGTAATACTAAAAGTCGTAGAGTTATTTGTCACAACTTTGGCTCTGGCAGGGAGAAGTCAGACAGGCAACAGGGAAAAAAAAGAAAGAGAGAGAAAACTCTGAGAATTCCTAGCCATAAGCTTGCATATTATCTGTGTGGCTCAAAAAACTTCAAGGCAAAAATTCAGTTTAAAATGGTTCTAGATTTGTAGTAGCCCTGGGACCCTGGCAGAAACATCAATTGTTTTTGAAGGAACCCACTTAAAACCTAGGTCTCAAAAGATTTCTACAGAGAAAGTTCCAGTTCTAGTCATAAATCAACAAAAATGCCAAAATAAACTATAGACCTGCAAAGGACTATCAATCAGATTTAAAATATGAAATATGAAATAAGTATTTTTAATATATTTAAGTAAATAATAATTTTTAAAAAAATTATAGAGGAGCAAGAGACACTCAGAATTGACCAGGAGATTTTAAAAAGAGTCAGGTGTGATAAACATAGATTAGATAAAACTAAAGAGTGAATAAGTGAATTAGAAGATAAAACTGAACATGTATTCACACAGAATGTACACAGAGACATAATAGATAGAAAATACAAAAGGAGTATCAACAAAAAGTCTAATTTGAATTCCATAATGGAAATAACTTAGGGAAGAGGGAAACAATTATTGAAGAAATAATGACTGAGAATTGTTCAGAAGTCGTGAAACAGTAGTAACTCTCAATTCTGGATTTTTAGTGAGGTCCAGAGGGGAATAAATAAAAAGAAATTGACACTTAGACCAAACATAGTAAAAATGCAAAACACCAAAACCAAGAGAATATATTAAAAGCAGCAGAGAGAAAAAGAGATTGTATGCAAAGAAATTACAATTATCCAACAGCTGGTTTATTACAGCAACAGTGGAAGCGAGAAGACATTGATATCTTCAGTGTAAGAGAAAATAACTGTCAACCACGAATTTTATACCCAGTAAAATTATCTTCCAAGAAACATATTCTTGAAGTAGTTAGTTTTTGCTACACTACAAACCACCTTAAAATGTAATATCTTAAAGCAGCAAATGTTCAATATTTCTCATGATTCTTTGGGTTATATAGGTAGTTTTTATAGTGTGAGCCAATTTGCCTGTAACTGGATGATCTTTTTTTAATATAAAGGCCTCACTTATATGTCTAGCAGTTGGTAGACAGATTAGGAATTTCATATTTACATGTTTAGCAGTTCATGTAATGCCAGCTGGGGAAATAGCCATGCTTCTCTCATTATCCAGTAGGCTAACCTAGACTTGTTTATGTGGTGATGAAAGGATTTCCAGCAAGAAGAGAGTAGAAGCTATAAGGCTTCTTGTGGCCTTGGATTAGAACTCTTACAACATATCATTTATAGATCAAAACATTGCAAGGCTAGCCTAAATTCAAGGTGTGTGGAAATAGATTATCTCTTAATGAGAATGCCAAGCATTTGTCTTCAGTTTTTGAAATCTCCTGCAAATGCTGAGGTAAATAAATTTTTTAGACTGATAAAGACTAGAAGTGTTTCTTAACAATTTGTCACTAAAAAGGTAACTTCTGAAGGAAATACTTTGGGAGAAGGATTTTAGATAGAAGAAGGAATGAGCAAAGAAATGGAAAACATAGGATAAACCTCAGTGTTCACTGTAATAGTGTCTAGTTTATGAGGTTAAAATAATTAAGGTAAAACTCAAAATTGATAACATAATGTATCGATTGGGGAGTGATTAGGATTAAAGCATTCTAAGGTCTTATTTTTTGGGAAGACAGTAAAGATATTGGTTAATATTATACTTTTTAAGTTAACTATGTACTTTAAAAGTTCTTAGATAACCATTAAAAAGTAGAAATGTAATTTATAGACAAAGGGGAAAAATTGGCCAATCCAAAAAGAAGGCAAGAATAGAAAGACACTTAGAAAAACTAAAATAATAAAAATAAGCTGCTAGAAATGAATCCAAATATAAGTCTTGACAATAAGTATAAATGGACTAAACTATCTATTGAAAGAAAAAGATTATTAGACTGCATTAAAAAACCCCAGTTATATGATTTTTTAAAAAATAAGAGATTGCTATAAAGCACAAGCAACTGAAAGGTTGAAAATAAAAATATATATTAAGACATAATTGTCAAATATTCAGCAAATGAAAACTGAGGGAACAATATTAATATCAGAGAAAATTGGCTTTAAGTCCAAATAGTCAACACATATTGATAAAATTTTCAAAATTGTATTATAATTGTTTATAAGCAAATATATGGAAACACACCCAATTTTTTAAAAGTCTAAAGAAAATAAGTCAAATTTTATCAGTAATGTCTTCTGGATGATTAAAAATTGTTTTTTTCTTTTATGTTTTGTGTTCTCAATGTCTTAAATAAATGAGCCTGTATGGTATTACATTTATAGTGAGTAAAAAAATAAATACTTTCTTTGCAGTTTAATGGCCATTGAGTATGGCTGGTCTTCAAATGACATTTCTTGATAAACTTGAGCATGCCTATGTTTGATAGTATGGAAATAATATGGTATGCGTTGTGTACTGAATGCGTGAAGAATCTTTCTTTCTTTCTTTCTTTCTTTCTTTCTTTCTTTCTTTCTTTCTTTCTTT